GCGCGCGCCCCGCTCCCCTGCAGAGAGCCGGAGACCCAGGGCCCGCGCCGGCTCCTGTGTGGCGGCGCCACAGCCTGCCCAAGGCTGCGCGGAGACTAGGCGGCCTTTAGAGGGGGGCCCGCCTGCCGCGTTGCCCCTGCAAAGGCATGCGACCACTGCGTGGTTGCAAGATGACAGCTCCCCCCGTCGGACCAGACAGGGGATGTGTGCTGCCTGGGAGCCAGTGTGTGTCCAAAATTCAAGAAGGAGGGGAACACCAGCCTTTTCTGGGCGGGCAGTCTTTTTGAAAAGAATAATCCTAACCCCAACGCTCAACCAAAGCAGGACAACCGGAATAAGATCCTGATTAAAGTTCAGAATTGGAGGAGTCACTGACCTTTTACTTGACCACAATGATTCTAGTTGTTGAAGAAACACATCAAAGATTCTTAGTAATCTTTGGACTTGTAGTCATCAAGATGTAGCCTCAAAAAAGAGATGGCTTTGGATTTACGTAATGTTCCCAAAGCATCGGGATAGTAAGAGAATGCAGTGGTTTTCCCAAGGAGATTGCACGACCAAGCGAGGGTGTAATGAATTCCTGGCCCAGGGCCCCTCAGCTCAGCCCTGAAGTTCCTGAACTTCACCTTGCCGTTAGCAAGGTTTCTTTTCCACAGATAGAATTCCAGGGAGTGGGTGAACTTGGTTGGACAAAAAGTACATCTATATTTTCACTAACCTGTAACTAATAGTTATTTTGCAATATTGGAAACTCAGGTAACCAACAGGAGTGGTTCCTACCATGCCTGTGATTTTGTCCCCAAGAGTCATCACCCCAGATAATTTCATATCATTTGAGACCTGTTTCTGATTTGTCAAAATACCGTTTTTGGTCATCACTCTTTTGGAAAGAGTAGTTAATCCCACTGCTCGTTATCTAATGATGTAATAAAACAGCACGTGTATTGCTATGCTCTGAAGCTGTTTTTAAAAATACTTTGATGCCTATATTTTAATGTAGCTGGTTTCTTTGGTAATCCATGCTAAAGATACTACTTGGAGAAAGGGTATGGGCTTAATCAGACTGAGAAAGGGGTTCAAGATCCTCCACCAAAAGTTAAAGGATCCCATGAGAGAAGAGCAGGACCTTATGCCCAGGCCCTTGTAGCTGGGTCCAGGATGCTGTCTGTGTTACATTCACAACCTATTTGCAGACTTGTGAACACTCTGTTCCCTCTACTTGGTAACTTAGGGCTCCCTGAGCCAAAATAGTTACTTTTCTTGGAGGACTCACAATGTAATAATTGAAAAATTTCTGGAAAAAAAGCTTCTGTTAAGGTGTAAAACACAACCCATTTGCAATTTTCTTAAAATCTTGCAGTGTCAAATTAAAGGCCATCCTATTAAGAGACTTTGAGCCTCCACAGCTGAAGGCCTGCAGCTTTTGGAAGACTATAGAGAAGCGTTCTTATTTATTTTGGTAATTAGCTCACCTTGCCTGTTCAACTTCCAGTTAGTTAGTCAAGCTCCCATTTGTGCTGTGAAACAGTTCGCAGAATCCCACTGCCTGGAGGTAAGATGATCAAGTCACAACCTTGCACTTGATGAATCTCTCCTTATAAATGATCTGCCCTATCTTTTATTGCTCCCTTACCCCACCCCACCCCACCCCCATTTCCCTCCTTCTCCATGTGCCCCTCACTTCCCCTCAATCCCCCCGCCCCTTCTCCCCCAGAATGCCTCTGACCTATACCAGCTGGGGGTAACCTCTGCTCATGGGTAGTTTTGTCTCTGCTGGGGCAATATACAATCGAGGCCTGTGAAAAGCAGGGTGAGTCTGCAGGAGGCCGGGACAAGCCAGGCTATTCGGGATCTGTGTCCATTAAAGCCTTCTTGCTCTCCTTAACTCATTCCCGCTCCATTCAAGCCAGCCTGAGGGTCAGGCTTTAGCTGGCACTAAAACCTGTAGGGTACAGATTCTCTGACATTGTTGGGAAAGAATTAAGGCATCAGCCGGGGACGGCTAATATTTCTTGCCTCATTTTATTGCCGAACAGCGGGATTGTAAAGTCTTGAACACTGGAGCACTATGGCCCCCTTTCATGTAGCCGAGATGATGGGATAAAAATGTGTTTGGTGAAGCAATTCAGATTACCACCGGGTCACATCCTCGCTGGCTCCCAGCACGGCCTGCAAACAGCATCGCTAAGGCAAGAAACAATCGCTGTGCAATTTCAGCTCATGCAGAACAGTATTGCTAGCGTGGAAATGAGGCTAATTGTGGAGCTTGCCAATGAGAATGTTTTGTTTTTAATAGCTCAGGCTGCAGCTCGAAATAAGAATTGAGATGGCGAACTGTGGATTCAAGTCTTGAGAGCCGTGATTTCTGACAGCTTTCTGCTAAAATTTTCTGGACCTTGGGATTATCATACACTAAATCCTACCTGGGGACCCTGAGGTCTTGAACTTGCTGACTGGAATGGAGGATGCACTCTCCAGGGAGGCGAGAGGTTGTTTCGTGGCACTCAGTTCTCCAGGCCTCTCTGTCGCAAACTCTGCTTTCCTTAAGTTTAGAAAACCCAGAGGAAGGACCAAAGCGACTCCATACATACTTAATAACCCCTACACCTGAGTTGGGAAAAAGCAAAGTCTGAGCAGCGCTGAGAAACAAGCTCATATGGTTTCATCGGGAACTGCTCCCCAAATAAATACCACATGTAAATGTTTCTGAGCAATTGTTTCATGATATTGTCTGGTTAACTTGTTGTAGAGTCAGTTTGTGGCTCTAACTCCGTCACCCTGGACCAACCCCACTGCCTCTTTGGAACCCCGACAGCCTTCTGTTTAAGTGAAAAGGCAACTCGATCTCTGTTGTAGCTCTAGCACTCTGTGCCTGGATCTCTGACCTCGTGTCTACCCCGTTTGTGGGAGTGTAAAGATCTACATGACCCTTTGCGGTCAACTGGGACTAGCTTTGGCTCCTTTACGCTAGTTATTTGCTTTCCCTGAGTTTTGGTTTCTGAAATGGGGACAAAAACAGGCTATTTTAAGAATCACTGGTAGAGTTTTAACATGGATGGCATTTAGTAACATTGCTAATTTTCACTTTTTAAAAATTGTTATTATTTATCATGTGTTCAAAAGAGGCTATAGTCTAACTGAAGTGGACCCAGACTCGGGGATTTGGCGAGCCTGGCCACGCCTTGCTCAGAGGAGGGAGTGATATCTTAGTGCCTAGAGCCAAGAATTAAAAAGGAAAGGAAAAGGAAAGAGAATATTTCCTTAATGAGGAAGTTGTAGCCCTCTACTAACTAGCCGTCGTTATCAGTATCTGTGGATGCCTGTCCAAAGAGTGGGAGGATGATTCACAGCTCTTAGTCTGGATTTCCAAAACTCTTGGCCCTCAGGACAAAAGAAATGTGAGTGAACCATGTCCCTGTTTGGGGCATGAGCTGTGAAAAAATGGCTGAGGGGTTTGCTGGAGCGCTAGAGACAAGAATCCCAGGGCCTCCCCAGGCTGCTGGGCCCAGTGTAATAAATCTGTGAAATAACAAGCACAAAGGACTTTATAATCAATGACAGATTTTATTTTTGCTCTGGCAAAATCCATCCGTGGAGTTAACATTTTATAGGGAAATAACTACCCACTTTGTGACTCCTCCTCAGCCCATATTCTCTTTCTTAAAAGTTGGGAAAAACTCACAGAATCAAAGTCAGGTCCTCGGAGAGCTGTGGCAGGAGAAAGCACGACTTCCCCTGGGCGGGAACCAACTCTCCCGCTACTTCCTAGGGTGGCTTGGGCCATTCATTTCTGTTTTGCTAAAATACCCGTGACATGTGAATAAACCAGGATTACAGAACATTGTCTCGGTCAGTAATCTGAGCCGGCATGGGCTCTGGTTTGATGAAATATGTTGCTCTCTGAGCAAACATGGGAATTGGTATTACTTCTTGTTAAAGCCGAACAGTGGGACTATTTAGAACCGAGGCATGAATGCTGCTCTGTGGGGAGTGACAATTTGAAGGGAGTAGATTTGGGGGAGGGGGACACTGGTGTGTGTGAGTTGGCCAGAACAAGCCAGTTAGAAGTCTGTGGGGGAGGCAGCCAAAGGGACACTTTGGAAATTAAGGCCCCTTTGGGATAGAACAGTCTCCTTACAACCCCCAAATAATCCTTCTCAGAACCTTTGCAGGAGGGGCAAAACTTTACATCCGCGCCTTGGCTTTTCGGCCCTTATCGTCTGCCCGCCTGTGTCTGTCTCCATGGAGCCAGTCTCTCTTCATGCCAGTCCTCTCCTGCACCAGAATTCAGTAGGGCCCCCCTCGTCTCACAAAGCTTTCCTACACGCTGTAGCTCCCACCCTCCACCCTTTTCAGCACCCAGGCCTGCAGGCCCCCACTTGCCAGGTTGGCTGCTGATGGCTCCCCATGCAGATGG